ATTTGTCATTTTACCTCATTACAACTATTTCCATTTTTTCACATCTTCTTCTAGTCTAGAACTGAGCATTTGTTGTTAAGTAAGCTTTTCTCCGCTGTCCAGGTTCCAATGTGTGCTGGAGGTTGCGAAAATGAAATTCCAAGGTGATCCGCTGTAGAGAAACTCACAAAGATTTAGAAGGACCACAGATTAACCAAAAACACAAAGTTTATCTTATGAATGCTTGGTCTTTCCAATCTTCCTATGAGATATTAACGTTCAGAATACAGGACTGTCGAAGATTAACGTTTTGGAAATGTGGTGTTAAAGACGTCTGCACAGAATCCCGTAGAACACGCACCATACCAATATGTCGATCCTAAAAGAAATAAATATTAAATAACCCCAAATAATATTCAAGAATAAAACAATAAAAAAAAAAGGTTTGATTGTCCAAATTCGAAAAAGATAGCTAAATCAAAACTTTCATCTTAGCGATTTAATTTAATTTAGCAAGACATGACTTAAATATAAGCATTTCACTTAAGTTGAGGAGTGGAGGCTCACAACGTGATGCCTAAGTATGTGAAAGGTGTGACGTCATTTGACATTTTAACTCAATGTGTTGCTGTAAGATATTGATTTCGCAAAAAAAATAAAAATACATGTTTACCTGACAGAAATAAAAAACATTATCCCTAACAGCTGTAACTAGATAATTCAAAAGCACTGTCACTACAATTTACTCAATAGTTCGTCTCAATTCCACTGCATGTTTTTTTTTTATTGTATGTTTACTCCGCCAATTAAAAATTTAACCGTGGGAGAGCCACGCTTCGGCATGAATGGGCTGGCTCGACCGGAGTGATACCACGGCCTCACAGAAAACCGACGTGAAGCAAAGCTTGCGTTGTGTTTCGTCGTGTGAGTGAGGGTACCGGAGGCCCAACCCCTCCCTATTCCCTTCTCTCTACCCCTCAACCCTTCCCTCCAAGGCCGGCAGCGCGCTTGTAGCCCCTCTGGTGTTGCAGATGTCCATGGGCGACGGTAATCACTTACCATCAGGTGATTCATCTGCTCGTCTGTCCCTATCCCATAAAAAAAGAACGATTTTTAAAATTCTTTTATTTCTAGACAGTCGCCATGGATTGTGAGGGGTCATGGGTTCGAGTCCCATCTCAGAGTGCCAAGGACAAAGTGGATTTTTAAGCATTTTACATTAATAATATTTTTCAATATAGCATCGTTAATGCTAAATTGATCAAATATAATAATTTATACTTATTTTAAAAGCGGTACAATTTTTCAAAAAATGTTGAAGTCCAGCGTTTAATATTTTAATGAACTACAGAAAACCTCAGCCCGGCTACAATGGTTCTTGAATGATTGTACCGCTTTTAAAATAAGTAATATTTATATGTTTTTTTTAAATTGAAGTCGGTTCTATTTTTTTGAAAAATGTTTTATAAATAAACATGAATGATTTTGAAAGCTGCAGTCGTTAGTACCCACTAATCCACACTGGCTGAATTTGTTTCTTTTTTATACTTAGCTTAACTTATGATATACAGTTAACACGATATTTTACTGTCCGAACAATAACTTTTATTATGACGTTAAGTAACTCTTACATAACAAAAAGTTAAGTGCTTAAAATAAATACTGGAGTTGATTGCTACTTGACAAAGGTGAAATGTATTGTAAATGGAAGATTACTCCTTGGAACATCTTGACCGTTGCAACATAGACTGTGGGACGTGAACCGGTCAAAAAAGTTCTATGTTCGTTGTTATAAATACCTACAATCCAATGCTCCGTATGATATAAAACTGGCATATATTTATGATAAACCGTTCAGACGGCAGACTTACTGTTTGATTCAGACATATTATCTACGGCAAACTGATAATAACGAAGCTACTTCTCGTTTTTAATATCGAAAAAGAGGAAGTTATATGTTCGACGGTGATATATGTTTTTTTTTTATCTATGTTCACCTTTGATCAACAATACAGCCAAATTCGATGAAGAATGTTTATTAACAAAGCGTTGCTTAGCAACCAGTGACAGGCAGATATTAATAGCCTTTCTAAACTAGACAATATTATATCTATTTTTTTCATTTTACCTATTTTTTGTAATTTAATGTGCAATGTCTTAACATTACAAGGAACATGTCAAAAGAGGCTGTATATTATTTTAAGTTTTTTATGTTTTTTTTTTGTTACGTCAGTGTCTGCCATCTAAGATTTTTCTTATAACATGTAAAATTTCTGTTTTAACTGTAAATAATAATTTTTGGATTCTTATTTAGTTTTATTGGAGTTTTAATCATTCAAGAAACTAGCGGCCTTTCCAACATCTGGCGCCCAACGTATTAAAAAAAATGGAAAAAGCCAATAAAAGGAGAAGTGCAATTCGAATGATTTTCAGCAAAAACTTAAAAAAATTCAAGAATTATATACAAGGAGAAGAGGTAAATGAAGCAGAAGTAACTTTCAGACTAATAACAGAGAACATGTCGCAAATTGAAATCTTAAATAACATAATAATAGATAACCTTACAGAAAACGAGGTTACAGAAGATGAGATCACTAAGGAATTAAAATCCGCTGAGAGATATAAGGCTGAGTTTATACTTGCGGAATTGGAGTTTACACGTTTTTCATCCCGACCAGAACATTCTGAAACAACGTCTAAGATGACTGTAAAGAACGGCTAGGGTAAAGAAGAGGGTTAGGTTGAGTTTAGTAAATTGATTTAGAAGCGAATATTTAGGTTTTCTTTCTCGAAAAAATAAGATGGTACCTATAGTAGAACCCAAAGTAGGATGTGTTGTAATGGTTGGCAACGATACAGATAAGCGTATTCGATGGCCTTTAGCGGTAGTTATAGAATTGATACCGGGAAAAGATGGTAAAGTTAGGGTTGCCAAAGTACGCACTAGTAAAGGAACGTTAGTGAGACCAATTCAAAGACTCTATCCTTTAGAAACCATCACTGGACATTGCTAAGTGGCAGGTACTGAGGAATATTTTTTTTTCTCGTTGGGAAGATGTCAAAAGAGGCTGTATATTATTTTAAGTTTTTTATGTTTTTTTTGTTACGTCAGTGTCTGCCATCTAAGATTTTTCTTATAACATGTAAAATTTCTGTTTTAACTGTAAATAATAATTTTTGGATTCTTATTTAGTTTTATTGGAGTTTTAATCATTCAAGAAACTAGCGGCCTTTCCAACATTACACGTAATGTATTTGTTTGTATGATTAAGGTCAATAAATGTTTCTTCTTCTTATTCTGTGTTGTTCAATTGTAAAGTTGTCCCTTGAACCTATTTTTTACGGCAACAAAACCTTTAATTACTAAATTAATTCTGTTTTATGGTTTAATTCGTTACTCTCAGGGAACGCATCTTTATTAAAGTATGACTTTAATACTGCTATAAAAGTATTTTTAATCATTCATCTTTTTAATAAATTTACCTCCACTTACACCTAGTAAATTCCTTACAACACTAAGTTTTCTTGTACCAATAACATATTTTGATGCATACACTAGACCACCCATATATTTTATATATATTAAACTAGCTCGGTGGCGTCGTGAATAAGGCCCGCGATCGTAGTCGTTAAGCAACTTTCGAAAGGGTCGGTCACGGGATGGGTGACCAAAAAATTACTATCCCGAGCTACTCCGTGCTTCAGAAGGCACGTTAAGCCGTTGATCCCGGCTGCACTTGCAGTCGTTAATACCCTCCAATCAGCATTGGGCCAGCGTGGAGGGTCATGGCCCATCCTCCTTAACCATCCATAAGAAAGGCCTGAGCCCCTACAGTGGGGACGTAAAAGGGCTTGTGATGATGATGAATGTATGAAACATAAAATCTTATGAAACGTGACAAACAGACAGTTAAATTTTCACAGATGATGTATTTCTATTGTCGTTATAACAACAAATACTAAATCATCCAACAATTTTTTGAGGTGCCAACTTTGTCGTTAGTGACATGTAAGTAAATGCATGATGAAGTAACATGCATGATATTGTTCTATTAAATATATGGCATAATCTCAAAAATACGTTTCTCTTTATTACTTTTTTTTTATTTTACTTAATAATGTTCTTCGCGGTCGAAGGACATTGCTTGTAAATATATAAATAATATTTTATTTAGCCACACCAAATTATTCCACATAAGCAAGGTATTTTCTAAAATTAAGAAATTTTCTGTTGTGTTGCAACCCTTACCCTTAGTTCGGCTCCTACTCACCTTGATGCACACCGTGACGTCAACACTGATTATGATTTTTCGTTTGACGATTGGGGAAACATCAAAAGGCATTCAAAGATATAAAAAAAGAATTACTGACATATAGCGAAAATGCGAGGGACCAATGAAATAACTTGTAACTCTGATAGCGAAAATAGCAAATAATGTACCTTAGATGTAATTGTTATAGAAAGTCGCGGGACACCAGTTAGTGTAATTTTAATTACTGTTAAACACTTACAAAGTATTAAATGAAAAGTCTCACATAATGAAAATGTTAATGTCGCCCTATAGACAAGGACAAACAGCCTCTGTACTTGATATCTCGCTCGGCTCGCTTTTCAAGCTGGGAGTCTAAATCCATGATGTGTATGTATACTTTACTCTTTGATGTATACGTTTTATTGAAGCCATAGATAGCATGTATCAAAAGTATAAACATAAGCTTATATATAAGTGGGTATTACTTTCTGTACAGCCGCAACCTTGTAGGGTCGGGTCAGCAGGGAAAGTCCCACATAATCTCGTCAACCCGCCCTAGGGCATTGGTAAATGCAGTAACTAAAGAGTAAATAATGTCACTAATTGATATATATCACAAAAATGTAGTTTTCTAAAACTAAAAAAACGATGTAGGTGAGTCGTTGAATATGGAATCAGCTACATAGTTATAAAAAAAGAAATACATTTTGAGGATCCAAGTTTATTTTATTTTTCAATAATTTTTTACAAGTTATTTAGCTATCAACTTTAATAATCGAGCGCGCAGAATAAAGCAACACCTCGTTTGATCCAATGAGCTTGCGGTTTATGTGTTGCCAACTCGATAGTCATGACGTAGTTAGTGGAATGTCCCGTCGTGGACAGTGTGCCGGCTCTGAGCAACGTCTTGTAAGTAGGACACTCGTATAAACCCTGCTGCAACTTGTGATTTTGTTCTGGCTTCATGTAAATTATCGCCATTTCTGTAACGACAATCATAAGGAGGAACGTGTGTAATAAAGACCACCTTTGAAATTTTGTACGAATACACTTCTATTCTTGGTCAAACTTTAATCAGAAATGTATGACACCAAAATTCTTTCTGATAATTCTGAATTTTTTGTATGAAAGCATATCGGCACACCCGTATGTGCTAAGTCGGCAGAGTTCTAGAGTTGTCAACCGCCCTGTTTTCCAAGGTCCTGCAAAAACATGACAAACTGGATAAACGCTTTGTCTACACCCAGTGTCAATTATCTCCAGTCAAAAGTCAGATATTGTATGGGCGCACCCGAGAAAAGTGACAATTGAGTTTAGACAAAAGTTATCTGGTTCGCTGTGTTATGCGTGTTGGTTTTTAGACTGAGGTTTCCCAACCTTCCTCATGTTAAAGCACCCTGGACTATATTAAATATTTTTTGATATATGTCGTTGGGTTTTGAAACAGTGGTCGACAGAAAGGAATGTAATATTTTGTTTCATTGCCTTCCAACTTTAAGTCTTAGTTTTTAAAATTAGTGTCTGTTATTCTAAAGTCATCAGAAATTTCTTTGCAAGGTCTTGAAAGATCGTTCAGTCCGCCTGCTTAGACTCGGATTTATCTGCTGTCAGCTTAATAAAGTATAGTTTTTATTACCTGTATGCAGTTCCTTAGGTCTGCTCTCTTCAAGAGACATATCACCCATATTCCATCTCGCCCCTTCTAAGAACAACCCTCGCACACAGCATCCATCTTCCGGACGCTTAGCTGGTGCGACAGCGAGAGCCTAAACATAAAACTATTTAATAATAAGAAAAAAATTATTACAAAAGCTATTAATTCCAAACTACGAAATTTTTCATTAACAAATGGTATTTTTTCTCTAAATACCTAATAGCTTCAAAACTGTAATCATGAAATTATAAATAAATTTATTTATAATAAATTTTAAATTATCCACAGTATACATTTATTTATTATGCCATTTTTTTGTCAAAAATGTTACCCTTTAACTCTCTTCGTCTTATCATAAACAGAAGACTAAGTTTAGTACCAGGTTAAATAATTTCCAGACAAAATAAGTCAAATAAGTCTAAATTTGACGTTTTCTCTTCTGTAAGTGTTATGATTTAAACCAAATTTTTACTTTAGTAATAGTTTCATTATACCACAGATTAGATTTCGTGCTTTCAGAAAAAAATAAGTATCGTTACACATCTGACAGAGGTAGGAAGTATCCTCCGGGACTGAGTTTGCAAGGTTGAATATTACATTTTTTTTTTCAGATCTAATGTTTCTGAACTTTTCATCAATTATACGCCTCGTCCCTTATCCATTGCGGACGGGCTAACAACGGACAGTGAGACAAACGAGTGATCGTAAAAAAGTTCCTTTCCTTTCGTGGCACAGAACACTATAAAACAAAACATATAACCAATTCTCACTTCGAAAGCATAAGAGATGGTGTCGATGGCTATGATGTTCTTCCTGGCGTAATTCTGTAAGGCGCCCGTGAGGAACGCCTGGGGGAAGAAGAAGCCAGAGATCCAGAACACCTTCGGGATACCACCGTCCACCCATTGTTGCATAAACTCGACGCGCAGGCATAAATCTTTCACCCATGCAGCTAAAGTTTTTTGAAACGTGAAAATGTCACTATGTATAAGGATTTGATATGAATCCGACTTTTTTAAATAGCTGTAGGTCTAAAGCTATTTGAACTTAATCCAAGGATCATTAGTTAATTATCAAGATAAAAAGAGATTTTGACGAGTTCAGCTGAAGTTCATATGGAAAAAGTTACGTGGTCGAAGACTCGGTGATTTGCTACAAAAAAAAAACTAAACAATTTGTTGCTTTACTGGTTACCAATTTTATAAATTTCACGCCAATATTGATTAAAAATAGTCGTGTTAAAAAATAATCTGACTTTCAACCAATCAATAAACCTAGCATTATCGGCATATTTTTTAGATGGAGACTAATTTAAAACCGACCATTTAAGTATTGACCCTACAAAACACAACAAAATATATCACATGAATTAACATTATTATAAGCAGCAAGTTACCTAAAGGTTTTAGCGAAGGGTAAGCTTTTGAGCTCCACATAGTGGGTACAGCATTACGTGCCAGGCTCGAAGCCATACTTTCCAAAGCTTCGGACATCACTACCAATCCTTTGAGAGCTTTTAACAGATCCCTGGGACACACAAATATGAAAACTAATTATAATATTTTGTCAAAGCGCTTTGACTATATCCGCTATTGTGATAACAAAAACAAATTACCAATTCTATAATCCAACTAATCAAAAGGAACATTAATTATATTATTAATAGTGTATTCATAAACTCAAGCGTTAGTTGACGGGAGTCCAATTATAACCAAGTTCTATAAATATTAACTTCCATAACTAGTTAATAATCTCAAGATATATAAGCAGCAAATACTACTACACTTTTCCAAAAAACATTCTCCTGAGTTATTCAGGAGGTCCTAGTGTTGTGGTACCTTATTTATTTCAGATACTCCATATAACGAGCACCTTTGCTACTTACTCATCTTGGAATCATGGATGTAAGAAGTCTCAAAAATTATAATACCGTTATTATAAGCTATTGACGGTTCTTTTTCATTAAAATTCTCGTCCGTTGGTTAAAAATATATATATTTTTTTTTATTTCTACTCAAGTTCTACTCGACTATTTATTATACTAAACATGTGTAAGTCGTTAAACATGTGTAAGAGTTTGTCTGACGGTATTTTGATCGCGTCTATCTCGGAAGTAAGACTGCAAGACTTTTGTCTAATAAATTATTCATACACAATATTTTTTTAACTAGTCTCTATTTTTAAAAGAAAAAGTTTCCATATTTGAAATATTTTAATCTCATTAAATAGAACACCAACACCTACTATTGGTGCGCTGAAATACGACGTGCAATAACGTTAAAAACGCTACTTTCTTTTGCTACATCATTTATCAGATATGTTATAAAATTTAAAAAGAGATTTTGAGTTATGTTATAAAATTTAAAAAGAGATACTTATTTAACCAGGCACACCATATTGTATTATACGTACATAGAACTCAATCGGCATTCTTTAACCTCATTATTTTTGTCCTAATATTACTTTGTACAAATTAACATAACTCAAGATCAGTCCTCGAATAAAAATTCGGAAAATTTCTAATCATTTTTATAATTTTGTTAAAATCATATCTGTGAAAATTATCTTTGCATCAGAGGCGGTGTCAGGTCCTACCTCCGCTGCATAAAAATTATTAATTTCTTTGGAGCCGTATTAACGTTTTCGGAAAAATTTCAGGTGTCATGTTAATTCGTACAAGTTGCTTGACATGGTTACCAAAAGCGAGGCATTAAAACCAACCTGAGTGAATTCATGATGACATTTAACAATCGATTGTACCGTATCGCCTCCTGCATGAGCACAGTGTTGAGAGACTCTTTGTACGACACGGGATAACTGTAGGACAGAAATCACTTTATGAGCTTCCAATTTTTTTAATAATAATATTCGACAAGTTGTCCGAATTTGTGAAAATACACACGATCTAAACACACATGACAGTGATGTTATTGTGTCGTATAGTGGTAATGATGTAAAAAAAAATTTGGTAAAAAAAACTCAAAAAAATATAAGGCATCATATTTTTAAATGCCAGGACTTCGTGGACTGGATGTATTAAATATACTGACCGACTTTCACTATGGGAGCAACATTGAATTTGCAAAACAATAAACAGTTGTTTCATACAAAATTATAATACCTACAATTGGGATGATGACTGGGTAAAAAAAATGCAATTCTATTTAGTCCGTCAATCAGATAATAGAAAAATATTAGGTACATATTTGTTTTTACTTCAATTTAACAAGAAATAGTATAGATAACAGGCATTAAAGTTGAGGAGTGGGGGCTCGCTACGTCACAGTTGAGGAGAAAATGTACCATAACGTGACGTCATGCGAAATTTCAACTCAATGTTACGCCGTAATTTTATGATTACGAAAAAAATAAAAAAAATACATGTTTAATATTTTTTAACACTCTACCTGACGAACAAACAAACAAAAATTAGTCATCATCCTTATTCCCAACAGTAGGAAATAGCTGAAAATTTTTTCGTGAATTTAGTTCCCACAGTAAAAGTTACTCTATATTATAAGTCCTATTACAACTTATAAAACGTGTAACAGAAATAACACCAGAAAATGCATTTATAATCATAAAACGAAAATTGAAATTTACTTTTATGTACTAAAACATTTTTTATGTGCGGACACATTTACACTAATTGCCAGGTAACAGTGTGGACATCTTACAAATCCACACAAAAACCTCAAAATTTAGCTTAGCCTGCAACTACAAATGTACCTACAGCGCAATACCACAATGATACCACCTATCTACTTCGCGACAGGAAATATTATTTTGTTTCGAGATTCAGCGTTTTTTAAGTTTCATTAAAATTTTCATTAGTTTAAAGCGACATTACCCATACCAATTTGACAATCATAAGAGCTTAAAGGCGTCATTAAACCTTAATGGATGTTTGTGCAACTGGCCGTTAGTTGTTACGAGTATCGGCTAGGATAGTCTCGCGATCATACCTATATCACACAGCGAGCACAGTATCACCACATAGTACCTAACCCTTTAGCATTTCGATGTATTAATTGTACGTTAGTATAACCAATAATCAAGAATGTGAAATTGAAAATTTAATAAACTTCAATTGCGTTACAATAATTATCCACGGCCACTCAATAACGATTTATTATTAGACACGACACACCCGTAAATTATTAATTATTGGAAATACAATTAATTATAATAACGGCATACATTTAATTGTTGTAAATATCATTATCACATAAAAAATTACAAAACACTGACTTACTTTGTAGCGATAAACTTTTGGTCCAATATTGCTGGCAACACCTAAGAAATAATACTAAATATTAATTTTTGTCATACTCTTGTGAATAATATAAATTAGTTGTTTTCATGCGACTTCGTCGGCTTAAAACCACTTTTAATGTAGCACCATTAGGTGGAAGAGGTCCGGTAGTTTCGGAGCATATATATTCATTGGTAAACAAATTCAAATGTTCCACCCTTTAAAATATTAATTTCGCTACAACTGTACTGACAATCAAAAGCTCTACGGTCGAATTCTCTTGCAAGAATATTATGTCAGTGACCATTACTTCAAAGGTCAGATCTTAGAATTTTTCCTTACGACTAGTGTTAATGCGTTAAAAAGACATGTATAATGTCGGTCATATCTTAATTTATGTACATACTTGTACAATCATTTTCAATACCAGCATCATCATCGACTTACTGCAAGGGCCTAATATATCATATTAAATAAGAACAAGCAATAGCCCATCATGCGGGTTCAGCGCAGATGGACACTTTAGCTACTATAAAATTTACCTGTAATATGTCTTTAGCCGCTCGCTCTGTCATTTCTTCTGCAGATAACCCACCACCACCAGACACTTCCTTCGGTTGCAGATTACGCAGCGTATCTACAAACAAAATTATGCCCCATATCCGACCATAATAACGACTTTAACAAATAAAATATATAATCTGTTTAGTTAGTAGATAATAATTGTATACTATAAGTGTTTTTATTGCGACTAATTAAATTTAAATAAACGAAAAGACTCACTGATACAAGAGTTGGTCTCTGACATAGCATAACTGATGTTAGCGTTGCTGTGAAGACCGAAGAGTGACGGATCATCGTTGAGAGGTAAAGTACGAATGTACCTTGTATAATCCTCAATAGTGGAAGCAGACGATTGCTGTGAATTAAAGGTGGCTTTTACATTCATGCTTATACATTCACATCTATTAGCACTGGAAAATCAAAAACAAGAGCAAATCTGACAGTTGTGTAATTGCTACATAATGAAACTACTTATTACTTGATATCGTTAACGCTATAGACGAAATGACTTTATATGCTACATTTTAAAAAACGATATATTACACTAATTTCGTAATTGAAAAAATAAAATAAAAGACATTTTGCTTGAGCCACATAATCTAGTTACAATGTAAATGTAGTATAGCTCAAATGTATATGTATTAAATACACACTCATAGTCAGAGGCGTTCATAATCAAAATTGTGAAGTTAAACAATGATTATCAACTACATAGTTAATGAGTAGCTCGGTGGCGTAGTGGTAAAGCGCCGCGGCACGCGATCGTTGTTGCTAAGCAACTTTATCAAGGGTCGGACACGGGATGGGTGATCAAAAAATTACTATCTCGAGCTACTCCGTGCTTTGAAAGGCACGTTAAGCCGTTGATCCCGGCTGCATTTGCAGTCGTTAATACCCTCCAATCCGCATTGGGCCAGCGTGGAGGGTCATGGCCTGTCCTCCTTAACCATCCATAAGGAAGGCCTGAGCCCCAGCAGTGGGGACGTTAAAGGGCTGATGATGATGATGATGAAACAATGATTATAATGAAAAGAATATGCAGTTACATTTACCTGTTTATATGCACCGCTCTCATCAAACATAAATCGATCATTCAACACGCTTGTGGAGTAGTAATCGGCAAGAAGACACAGTAAACAACGCCTATCCCAATCGTCAGTGACACGTCCTCCGTAGTTGATATGCCCCGCGGTATATGTTAACATCTACAAAGGAATTAGTGAGATCTACAGCAACTGTATAACGAAATAGACAAGACTATACAACAGTTCCCGAACCAGCCAGACTCAAAATGGAGGAGAATGCAAGAAAAAAAGAGTCAAGGACGATATTTTTTAAGCCTTTAATTACTATAATATATAGCATTACTTTCATTCTACATTCTATATAGGCAACATTAATTAGTAAAGAAAAAAGTTCGTAAACATCTCTTACCCGAAGTGGGACTTCGTTGTATTCAGTAAGGAACATGTGCAGCTGCGAGATGCAAATTCGAAGATCGCCGTCAGTGAAATCATAGGCAATATTGAAACCAAGAGGGCCAAATTTACGTCGTTCCAAAACGACTCCATGAAACAAGCACAGGGAGAACAGTAGCCACTGATAATAGAAAATGTAACTGATTTGTATAATAATCATTTTTAAAATCAATCGCAATTAACTTAACCAAGCAAA